TCTCTTGTCTTGCTCACAACACACCTGTTAATGCATCCCAGAATCATGTTTGCTTTTTTTGCAACAGCATCACACTGTTGACTCATATTTAGCTTGTGGTCCACTATGATCCCTAGATCCCTTTCTGCCGTACTCCTTCCTAGACAGTCGCTTTCCATTCTGTATGCATGAAACTGATTGGTTCCTTCCTAAGTGGAGCACTTTGCATTTGTCCTTATTAAACTTCATCCTGTTTACCTCAGACCATTCCTCCAATTTGTCCAGATCATTTTGAATTATGACCCAGAGCAGTTGCAACCCCTCCCAGCATGGTATCATCTGCAAACTTAATAAGCGGACTTTCAATGCCAATACAGGCAGTCCCCGGGTTACGTACAAGAAAGGGACTGTAGGTTTGTTCTTAAGTTGAATTTGTATGTAAGTCGGAACTGGTACATATTGTAGGGGAAACTCTAGCCAAACATTTCTCCAGAGCTCAGTTTTTTTCTCCCACACCTCACTTCCCTCAGTTCTTTATTCTCAAGCTGAGGTGTCTGCTGAGAAAAGCCGCTCTGCGTCTCCCTGGTCTGCTGGGGGGAAGCAGCTAGTGCCGGGGTTGCCTCACCCCGTTTGTAAGTAGGGATCCAATGTAAGTCGGATCCATGTAACCCGGGGACTGCCTGTATCTAAATTCTTGATGAAGACATTGAAGAGAGCCGATCCCATGAAGTATATGGGAGTAGGTCTACACTGTATATGGGAGTATATAGGGGTATGTCTACACTGCCACCCTAGTTCAAACTAGGGTGGCTAATGTAGGCATTCAAACTTGCAAATGAAGTCCAGGATTTAAATATCCTGGGCTTCATTAGCATGTTCCTGGGCGTAGCCATTTTTAAATGCCCCATAGTTTGAACTACCTGCCCTTGGCTACACGCGGCATGAACTAGGTAGTTCGAATGAAAGCTCCTCATTAGAACTACCATTAAACCTCCTTGCAGGAGGAATAACGGTAGTTCGAATAAGGAGCTTTAATTCGAACTACCTAGTCCGTGCCGCGTGTAGCCGCGGATAGGTAGTTCAAACCATGGGGCATTTAAAAATGGCAGCGCCCAGGAACATGCAAATGAAGCCCAGGATATTTAAATCCCGGGCTTCATTGGCAAGTTTGAATGCCTACATTAGCCACCCTAGTTCAAACTAGGGTGGCAGTGTGGATATAACCTGGGAGAAGTACTGTGGGGAAGCAAGGAGCTTATTAAGGGGAATTAGAAGAGTTTTTCAATTTGTGCATGTGAAAAACATCAGTATATTGTGACCTGATTTTCAGAGATGCTCTGTACATGTGACTTGCATTGAAGGTGCTCAGAGTCCCTGAAAATCCCATGAGCTATCACAAGGTCTATGGACTGCATACGCCCCCTTTAATCTTGCTCCAGGGGGTGAATTTTATCCTAAGGCAATGCTCTCTCTAATGTTTCCATCAATGTGCAGAATAAATTGTATGTGTACTGAGGCAGGTGTGGATGCGCACCACTAGTAGAAACATATGTTGCCAGTTTTGGGTTCTGTGGGTGCTCTGCTAATCAGTTGGACAGCACCTAAATCTCTCCTGCATGGCTACCCAAACTCTCAGCTTACAGGAAACACTAAGGGACAAATTTTCAAGGGTTCAGCACCTACATTTGGGACCAGAATTTCAAAAATAGATCAGCTCCTCCTTTAATCACATAACTAAAGGCCAGGTTTTCCTAAGTGCTCAGGACACAGCATCTCCCATCATGACACTTACAGATCCATTTTCAAAAGAGCTGAGTTTGATTTTGCAGCTACCCTGTGTGAGAATACTCCCTTATGTAAATAGTTTCAGTGAAATCAATGGGTCCCTTTAGTCTATTTTTGGGAGTGAGCACTAATCAGTGAGAATGGGTTGGTTGTTGAACCAAACCTGCACTTCCTATTACAGATTCACGGTAACACCTTGAGCATGATTTTAGCAAGTAAAATTACGGCTTCATTTGCTCTATAATTAGGCTGGGTTTCACAAGATAGCCTGATCTAACTTTTGCTCTAATCAAGACAAGACTTATTGATAAACACATTTGTTTTTGTAAACATGGTGGCTACGTCTACACTGGCCCCTTTTCCGGAAGGGGCATGTTAATTTCAGAAGCCGTAATAGGGAAATCTGCGGGGGATTTAAATATCCCCCACGGCATTTAAATAAAAATATCCGCCGCTTTTTTTCCGGCTTTTAAAAAAGCCAGAAAAGAGCGTCTACACTGGCCCCGATCCTCCGGAAAAAGTGCCCTTTTCCGGAGGATCTTATTTGAAGTGCGCTTTTTCCGGAGGATCGGGGCCAGTGTAGACGCTCTTTTCCAGCTTTTTTAAAAGCAGGAAAAAAGCGGCGGACATTTTTATTTAAATGCCGCGGGGGATATTTAAATCCCCCGGGGATTTCCCTATTACGGCTTCTGAAATTAACATGCCCCTTCCAGAAAAGGGGCCAGTGTAGACGTAGCCGGTATGTATCCCATATGAGAATTCTCAACTACAAGATTCTGGCTGTGTTAAGTAAGCAGTTATATTTTGCACTGTGTCTTACAGTGTTCCTAGTGCAGTTTTTCAGAGTGCATATACGGAGCCATCATGTTTTGCTTGAGGCATTATTGTAACTCAGTAGGGTTTGGTTTGTTTTTTTCTGAGCAAAAAGGTGTGTTCTGGATCTGTTACAACAGGTACAAAATTAGCAATAGGTATAAATAAATACTGCAATTTCTGAACCGTCTTAAATCAGGAACTAATACTACTAGTTTTACATATGAAAAGATACATAAAATCTCAAAAGGAAGGTTTTCAGAACTCTTCACACACAAATACTTATAATTCCATACACAAATCCATTTAATTCTGAACCCAATATATAAGTGCATTGAAGACGTCCAGAGGACTGTCACGTGAATGTGCAAATCTATGTATGTTTGTGCCTGCTATGTTCCGAAAATCAGCTCCTGGGTGATTCAAAGAGCAAGCAAGCAAGAATACCCATAAAAAACTAATGTATGGCATATCATGTAGAATATGCTGAAATAAATAGACTTTAATATTGAAGGGATTTAATATTAAGGGATAATTACTTGATCATATTGTAGACGATCTTAAAGTATTATTATTCTGATGCCGCATAAATGTTATGGGTGTATCATTCTATTTCAGTTGCAAGGTAGAAAACACCTGTTCATTTATTGCCAATAAAATTAGTTCTTTTGCTATCACTATGTTGTAAATGCTACCAAGTATACAAGTTGGATAAATCTTGCACAAGTTGTTGAAAAACTGCTTCTTCACTTTCTTGGAACAAGGTTTGAGCCAGTCTGAGTTGAGTTTATTCAATCAGTTACATATTTTCTTTGCTAATCTCTCCTTCTCAAGAATCACATTGATTAATTTTTAACTTTAGTAAAACAAAACCCAAATTCCCTATATTCAGCAACCGGCTTGTCAGCACTGACTTAATTTCACATGAATACAACAAATACAGTCATGGGTATTCCCTATCAGCCCTACCTGTTAATAATTACAAGCTCACAAAAGCTATAGAAATGTATCTGCCACTGTACTTGGCATTGACTTGATAAAAGGGGCAAAAAACTTACCTTGGTGCCGAGAAAGGAGCAAAAATGTAGAAATAAGAAGTACTTTAATCATTTCAGATGAGACTGGAAATCTATCTCCTTGCTTTCTGAAACACTGGCCTCTAATTTCCCCCCACTATGTCTTACCCTGCCTTCTTCAGTGAAAGAGAGCAAATGAGTCCTTCTGCTTTATTCTTGTTCTTACATGAGGAAGTGTTTGCCGAAGGTGTTGCACAATTTTCAAGTTACAACAATACCACTGCATGCGGAAGTCGCTGCCAGTTCACGGGTGTTGAATTGTGATATGTAGGGACTGCTTTTTTTCAAATGATTTCGCAGAACGGATTGCCCATCACCAAAAGGATTGGAGTTTTCTAAAACTGTTTTTGTTTGATTTCATGGAAAATAGACAGGGCTGCTTGTAAGGCAGGGGACTTTCCTTTTGTCATGGCTGCATGTGTAAATACAGGGAGAAGTAAGAGGCTGTGGAATGTTGACCACCTTGTACTTCCATGGAGAGTTAAAGATACACCACCGATTTCTGGAGGATTTCAGCACCACCATGATTTCAGGTCCTGACTGAATCACCTTTTCATCTATGTCGGTTTCAGTCTGTGCGGATTAACATTTCACTTGTGAGGAAGGGGAGGGTGCTGAGCAATAAATAAGGGTGTGTCTAGACTACAGGGTTTTGTCGACAAAAGGCCACTTTTGTCGACAAAACTATATCTGCATCTACCCTACTGCCGAGTTCTGTCAACAGCACTTGGCAGTTTTGTCAACGGGAGTAAACTCATTCTGCGAGGAATAACTCCTTTTTTTATTGCATCTACACTGTCCTTTGCGTCTATGCTCTCGTATCGACAAAGCGACTTGCTTTGTCGACAGAACTGGATGTAGTCTAGACGCTCTTTGTCGACAGAAGCTTTGTCAACAGTATCAGTCAACAAAGCCTCTGTCGACAAAAGCCTGTAGTCTAGATGTCCCCTAAAGGGGAAAGCAATGCCCCCATCTGTGAACCATTTCCATTTTATAAACCCATGTCCCTTCCCCTGCATGAGTGCTGTTCGGTTTGGGCTGATGAGGTAGATTCATAACTACAGAGGGTTTGGAATATTGGGAAGTGAAGATGGAATTCAGGAAAGAGACAATGAGCCCCAAAGTCAAACTTCTACAAGGGAAAAACCAAAGTTAAGTCCCTGCCACTGAGAATGTGTCTACACTAGAAAGTTGTACTGCTTTAACTATACCAGTGCAGCTACGGCAGTGCAAACTCCCCAGGTTAGCTTCAAGACATGTCCATTTCCTACAAGTCATCTCCACACAGCACTAGAAGACTCACTCCGCATTGCTCGAGTCCTTCACTCATATCATTTTTTTTCTTCATGTCAATCATTGCTCTGGGGTGGGGCTGAGGATGAGGGGCTCAGTATGCAGGCTGCCCTAGGGAGAGGGGACTACCCCAGCCCTCTCTCACTGCTGCAGCAGGCACAGCTGGGGGAAGGGTGCATGTCCCCCGGTTGGGCAGGTCTATATTTGTTTGCCCCCTGCTTTGGGATTAAGGGATGGAGCAAACTGGGCACTTTCCCCTCACTCCCTGACAAAGGGGAACAGCCAGCAATGTTCCCATACAAATGTGGCAGCGGGGGAGTTGCAGCTCCTCCCATCCTCCCTATATGGTGCCTGGGGGGTGGAAGGATCAGGGCTGGGGCAGTCCCGGATGGGGTTATGCCCCCAGCCAGCCCCTTTCACCTGCCTGATGGTTGTCTCTTTTTTATATGGTTTTATGCATCCCCATATGCATTGGGGAGCTTCAGCTCTCCCTCCCTGTCCTCCCCCCCTCCCCACAAGCAAACACTTGCCTTGCTTTAGGTTATGGTAAGAGGAAGTGGCATACCAAATCTGGTGGGTCTACCTCTTGCCATTTAGGAGAAGTTTGTGAACAAACAGATGGATGAACAGACAGACTCGCTTGCTCGCTCACAGACAGACAAACTCTCTCATATATATGTAGTCGATAACTGTATCCACACTTGCTATTTTCCCTGCTATAACTATATTGGTAAAAATTTAATCTCCTAACCAAAGTAGTTACACCAGTAAACCTTTCACGTGAAGAACAAGCCTAATTAGGTATTTAAATATATATGTAAGTGTCTGTCTTAAAGCATCTTAGATATTAATCTTTGTGTTTTTTCAGTTTGGTAACATTTATTTAATCTACAGACGCAGTGAGAGTTAGTGGTTTGTCTGTCTGTCAATCAAGACTGTGAGTCTCAATGTGCTAAGCTTTCATTAACAGAGTCTAGATTCACAAAGATTAGGAAGACCCGGCCAAAGCTGATTGCAAGATGTAAGGGCTTGTCTTCGCTGCTGCGGAGATGTATGCTGCAGAGGTCGATTGTCTGGTGCTCAGTTTAGCAGGTCTAGTAAAGACCCACTTAATTGAATGCTAATGGTGTTCCCGTCGACCATGGTACTCCTTGCAGTTGCAAGAAATAAGGAAAGTTGATGGGAGCATTTCTCCCGTCGGCCTCCCACTGTGGGGCTATCTCAGAAGGTATGTCGACTCCAGCTACACAACCATTGAAGTTGGAATTGCGTATCTTACATCAATTTTCTCCTCCAGTGTCGACCTGGCCTGAGTCTGTCAATGGAGGATAGTAATTTAACAAAAACTGATTCCAAGACTAAGACCTGATTCTCTGTTGCCTGGCACCTTACAGTGTCATTTCACTAAGTTAATACTTTTTCATGGTGGGTGTAAAATTCTCCCACCTTGAAATGGTACCATTTTGCAATCGCCTTGAACATAAGAACATGACATAAGAACATAAGAACGGCCATACTGTGTCAGACCAAAGGTCCATTCAGCCCAGTATCCCGTCTGCTGACAGTGGCCAATGCCAGATGCCCCAGAGGGAGTGAATCGAACAGGTAATGATCAAGCGATCTCTCTCCTGCCATCCATCTCCACCCTCTGACAAACAGAGGCTGGGGACACCATTACTTACCCATACTTGCGTTCACTTTGCGCTGGGTGTAAGTGACAACATAATGTGCAGGCTGTAGAGAATCTAGCCCAAGCTTTGGCACAGTGACAGCATTGTTGTACAAAGTGTCACAAATGTAAAATGCTTCCTCCCAGGAGATCATACGGGTCAGATGTCCCTTCTGGGCCCCGATCCTGCTTTGGGATCTGTTAGTGCAGGGTTTCCCAAGTGTGCTCTATGGCGCCCTGGGCTCAACCGGATGGATCCAGGGAGAAAATATGAATGACAAGTACATGACCCGATTATTTTGTTACAAATTTTCTGTTAGTTTTCTTAGGGAAACAAATATATAAGAAATAGACAAGAAACAAAATGGAATTCCAAACCTTTGTCTATTTATTTGGATTCCTGTAGAATTAAAAATTATTATATTTGAAGGGTGTGCCACATTTCCAGGGCCCTGTAGCAGCTCTGCAGCTGAAAAAGTTTGGGAAACCCTGTGGTACTGCAAACACTGTGGCTTACAAAGAAATCCACTGGCTTCAAGTGAGTGCTGCATGAACCCAAAACTTTGGCCCAGAATTGAGGCCTCGCAGAGTTGAAGTGTAATATTTTTACACCATATCTTTGTTCCTCTTTCATAGAGGTTAAAAAACCATTAATTAAGCCTCCCCTCAGCCCTGGGAAGTGTGTCCATTTCCTAGTGGCCAATACTGAGGTATTTCATTGAGGGAAGGGCCTCACAGCAGCAGAACATGAAACAGATCCTAGGAATCCTGATTTCTAGTCCCCAGCACTGGTGACTAGGTCTATGCCCCTCCTATATTCAAAGAATAGAACCCAGGCATTCGGGCAAGTTGCAATTGTATTCTTATGCTATTGTTGATGCCAACAATAACCTCCAATTCAATGTGTGTCTGCTGATGTGACCTGTCTAATTTCAGACGGTATTTTGCTCGTGCAGTGGTTTTCAAACGTTTTGGCCCGTGGCCCACCCTGCTCAATGCAGACCTTTCCGTGGACCACCAGCCAACCACCCTGATGACAATACGGGTGCAGGGCCTCGCTGGGAGGAAGGGTGCAGGAGCAAGCTAGGGTGAGGGGTCTGACTGGGAAGTTGGGTGCAGGAGTGGGCTGAGAGGGAGAGGGGTGTAGAGAGGGAGGAGGCGGGGGGGCAGTTGCCTCCAAGTGCCATGCTAGGGTGAGCACAGGAAGAACTGTGTGGGTGGGTCTGACGTGGCCGCAGCTGCTGCAGTGGGGCCAGGTGGTCCCAGACCTCGCGCCTTTCTCCCTGCATTTGCCCTAGCATTGCACCCAGGGGGCAGCTGCCCCTCCCCCTTGTGCTCCCCTCACTACGCCCCTGGGAGGGTCTGACCATGAGCAGGCTGGGGAGTGAGTCTGGCTGGGAGGTTGGGAGCAGGAGCAGGCAGGAGATGGGGGATCTGACTGGGAGTTTGGGTGCATGAGCGGGGTGGGTGGATCTAGGTGGGTGCAGGAGCATGAGTGGTCTCAGTGGGAGGCAGTGTGTAAAGGGGATAGGGGATGCAGGGTCTGGGCATGTAAGGGGAAGGGGGAGCACTTCTCTGGCTCTGTGCCTCCTGCCACTCTCAGGCACCATCTTCTGCTGCTCCCATTGGCTGTGATTCCAGCCAATGGGAGCAGCAGAGAAAGCCTCCAGGTGAGTGGTTTCCTGCACTGCCATTCCCCCAGCTGGGGGGGAGGAGAGCAGTAGCACACAGAGATGCCTCCTTCCTCTGCAAGCCAGATCCGACCTGTAAGGCTCCCTGCCCCTCTCTTGCAGTGGGAAGCCAGAAAGTGCTGGCACTCCAACCTCATGGGAGGGAAGCGGGGGGAGGAGGGGGCTGGAGTACCAGCACAGACCCCCGCTGCAGGGGGTGTGAGCTCCAAGCCCCCAGCCCACCCGCAAGATGACCATGGACCACTAGTGGTCCGTGGACCACACTTTAAGAACCACTGCCAGAGCGGATGGTTCCCTCCCATCTCCATTAAGGTCCAGCCTCTTGCAATAGGCCTGTAAGGAACGAAACCGCATTGGGACAAAGTCATAATGCAACACCCTGAGACAGGAATGCTCTTTGGAGGTAAGTACTTAGGGGCCCTCTAGCCTGGGGACCCAGAATGTTTGCTTTCTGCAAGAGAACTATCTCCACATAAAGCAAGAGGTGTACCCAGCTGATGTTG